ATAATAGAAGAAGAAAGGGTCTGGCAGTGGGTTCTTTAAAAGGAAAGGACGTGCACCGCGGTGGCTCAGTGGGTTATGTGGCAGCATTTGGCTCAGGTCGTGATCTGGGGGTTCTGAGATGGAGCCCCGTGTCAGGCTCCCTTCTTATCAGAGCGTAAGCTGCTCCCTCTGTCCTTCCCCCTGCTCGCTCTTTCTCTCTCTCTCACTCAAATAAGAAAAATCTTAAAAAAAAAAAAAAAAAAAGGAAAGGAAGGCAGATTTTTCTGTCCATTTTTCTCCCATTAGGAGTAATGGATAGTAAAGTTCATGTGACTTTCTTACTGATGTGCACTTTCTTTCCCCTGTTCTCAGTGTTTATTTTTCTCCAGTTAGGAGTAGTGGATAGTAAGTTCATGTGACTTTCTTACTGATGTGCACTTTTTCTCCTGTTCTCAGTGTTTTAGGAAGAAGATCCTTCATTTAATTATATTCCAGACAATACATGGTCTCAGTTGCCATCATAGGTGGTAATGGGTGAAAACTAGAAAAGTATAAAACAGGAAACCACTTAGGCTTCTGAGTCAAGGAGAAAACCTGTCAAGACAGCGTGAGTATATGTAGTCTATGCAACCCTATTTGTCTGTGCTTTGCTTTATGCAAATGGGTGGGAGCCACTGTGTCAGAGCTAGCAATTGCCACAACTTTTTTTTGTTATGGTAATTTCCCCACATTTTGTAATTAATACCTTGTGGGAAATTGGTGGTCCAATATCTCCGTTCATCTTTCAGTCATTTTTTTTAGTGTTTCATACTTCCTGCCATCTGTACTCAGCTTTTATCCTTTTTCTACCACTTACCCCCTAACCAAACATAACTTTTCTCATAATAGGTGATTATTTATTTGTAGGGTACAGTCGGGAGCTTGGAAAAGAGGCCGTGCTCTTCAAACTGGAGACATAATAATAGGCTTCAAGACGAAGGCATCAGAGTCACTGCCAGTGGACGTGTCCCATGATGAATTTTGGAGTATACACCAGGGGTTGCGAGAACAACTGAGCTAGAATTCTCGTAAGGAAACTGAGCCTGTCTGTGAGACAGGGCAGGACATGATAATTACTAATTCATAGGAACTGATAGGAATTTTTGCAATCAGAATGTTGTATTTTCTATGAGTTGAGAACTGTAGATCTATAAATAGACATATAAACAATTACAATGGTTCCTGGGTGTTGATAGAGTAGACCAGTTGTGGGCGAAGTTGGACATTGGCCTGTGATACAGCGGTATCTATACCACTGAACTCCAGTAATAACACCATGAACTCTCCTTTAGAAACCTAAAGAGAATAGGAGCCATCTCATTCTCATAAAGTACAGAAGAAATTGAGATCAGAAATGGGTTATCAGTAACAGAATATGAATAGAACTGTGTCTAGGAAAAAAATAATGATAAAAGATCTTATGTTTTATTATACGCTGGGTTCCTTGAGTACTTCATTTTTAAATATGTATGACTTTTGCTTGATTGAGAACCATTTATTTCATGAGAGGAAACTAAAAAGGGTTTTTCTTTCAGTAAGTCACTCCTGAAAAACAGCCTATTTTAGGTGTCAGTTGGTAATTTGGCTCTTATTTGCAATGAGAAGGCTACTTTAAGACACCATACACAGTAGTAAATGTATCCTGTCTCTGATGAAAAGATTGGTATTGTCTGTATTTTAGAAATAGGGTTAGAATGTTCATAGAAGTGAGAGAAATTTCCTCTGGCTCTTTTCTGTCCACAGCTGTGCCTGTTACCAGATCCTAGGCTTTTTCTGAGAAAGGAAACATCAAAGACTGGACAATGGCACCCGAGCTCGTGTTGCCTGAGTCCCAGGTGAGCTGCGTGATCCAGCTGTTGAGGGCTGCCTTTCCCTGCTGCCCAGGACACACACTGCCCAGCTCACAGGCATATTAGCCCCAGTGTTCTCCCTGGGGGACTGGGCACCTCCTAGGCTGTTGATGATCCCTTGGTTTTCCTTTCTGCCTTCTCACTTAAAAGAAAAAAAAAAGTGGGGCACCTCAGTGGCTCAGTCGGTTGGGTGTTTGCCTTTGGCTCAGGTCATGATCCCAAACCATGTGCTTCACCCTTTCCATTTCCACCCCTGCTGATGCTCTTTTTTGCTATCTCTCGTCCTCTGTCAAATAAATAAATTTTTTAAAAATCCTTTAAAATTGAGGGGGTGGCTATTAATTCTTTGAGTGCCCAGGGTCTACCATGGGCCAGATGGTAGAGCTGCTTCTGTAGTGCAAGTACTGAGCTGAAGCCCATTGTCTTCTTTAGAG